TAATAATAATAATAATAATAATAATAATAATAATAATAATATTAATAATAATAATAATGATAACAAAAAACACCACTTTGTTAGTTATTGTAGCTGATATTGGGACCCAATTGATGTTCCTTAAAATAGGGGTGATATGGCAGTTCTTCCTGTATTATCATACGTTGATGATGGTGGTGGTGGTGGTGGTGGTGATGATGATGATGATGATGATGATGATGATGATGATGATGATGATGATGATGAGGAGGAGGAGGAGGAGGAGGAGGAGGAAGATGATGATGATGAGGAGGAGGAGGAGGAAGACGAATTCTGATACTGGAAGAAGACGAATCTTATGAACAAACAAAAACATTCGCTCCTAGCCAAAGAAAAACATCTTATAGTTACTCACTCAAAAAACTCCATTGTGGATGAGATTGACGTTTTCACGTCGTATGTGCGGTTGGCAGGCCTGGTGCTCGGAGGCTGTGTGGACAGCAGTTGGCTGCTCATCAAACCTGAGGACGTGACGTACATGCGCACGATTGTGTAATTTTGTATCGTACTAATCAACTTTTTGGGAGCTACACCATGCAATACTATATTACGTTATACTTTTCGTTAGGGGTGGGTGGAAGGGGGGTTGGGGGTGGGGTGGAGCTTATCACGTATAGCATAGGACTTAAACCCAATGTCCCTCTGGTATATCCTACGTTTGTACCACCACAGTACGCCTATGACAAAAAAAATGGTTTTCAATTGAAGGGTTAAAAGAAAGATAAAACGGGTGTTTTTACAAGCTGAAATTTGTGTGGGTATCAATTTTATAAGCCTGACTTCTTTTGTGGCATATTTTCACAACAAATACCATGTGCATGCTGTTCATTAACTCAAAATGTCATTTCTGTTTGACCGGTGGTTTATTGTTGCTGTTAGCGAAATAGAACGTCAAACACTAGTAGTTTAACATCAGTTTAGCGATAAATGCAGTTATAAGTCTAGAAACTCTTAAAATTGATACCCGCATGAATTCCAGTTTGTAATAACACTCTTTTTTTCTTTTGAATACTTTAAAGTCTATCTATGCATGTCACAGTAAAAAACAAAACGAATGGACACATAAACCTTCAAAGACATTAAAGATATTGGACAAAGAAGATGATTTCTGAAATAATTAATATTTAGTCAACTAATCTTTAAGGAGAATATCCTTAGGAAGAAGTATAATATTTTAACTCTCTTGTTTATTTATTTATCTTTTTTGCTACGACAATTTTAGACAGGACTGAATGGCCACCATGAAATGTCGCATACTTTTAAAATGTTGTTAATCATAAATTAATTAAAGGCTTTCTGAAGAAAGTTAATTGCATTTAATGTATCTGAATCTGACGCAAGATAAATTAACTAAAATGAACTTGTCCTGTTAGACGAAAACAATCTCTTACAACCCGCACCACCAATACATGTAATTTCCTTTCCTTCGTTTCTGGAACTGGAAACAATATTGTATGGCATACAATGAAACATATTTTTCTTTAAAAAGTGGTGACACGTTGACAAATTTGATCCAAACGGGGAATTTTGAAATTTCAATTAAACTGGGGTCCAAAATCTTGGCCATCTTTTTGAAACATTAAAATTAATCTTCTCGTCTCTGCCTACAGATTAGTGTCTTGCAAAAGGGCAGTGTGATACACATTCAATACAGAATAAGCCCTTAACTGCATCTACTAAGGCGTAAACCTATTACGTAATCGTATAACATGCACAAACCCGCACAAACAAACAAACAAACAAACAAACAAACAAACAAACAAACACATGCACATAGTGCAACATCGTAAAAGGCGTGATCCTTCCACTACTTGGCATCAAAGAGGAGGACTTTTTCAGAGAAGAGACTGGATTAAAAACGACGACAACACATACACGTAGTAAAGACCAAAAAAAAAAAAGAACTTACAACGACAGATAAGGAGAAGACTTTGGATAGCTGCAGCCAGATTGTGGACGAAAACTCACCTACCTGTCAAGTCCGAACTCATGACGTCATCGACTAAACTGCTGTTGTCTTCAGAGACAGTGGCGTTGATGTCCCACGTGATCTGCCAGCAGTTCTCGCTGTTGAAGTCGTTAAAGCAGGAAGTCCAGGGCAGTTTGGAGGTGAAGGAAGAGAAGAGGTAGAAGAAACTCCAGCCGATGATTATGTTGTAGTAGAAGGCTACGATATAAGCCATGAAGCACGACGCCATTCCGATACCTTTGTAGAGGTGAAGGGAGGGGGAGGGGGTAGAGACGGTAAATGAGGTGGGTCGAGAAGGAAGGGAGGAGAAGGACAGGGAAGAGGATGGGAGGAGGAACGGAGGCCAGGGGAGGAGGAGGGGAGGAGAAGGGGAGGAGGAGAGAGGAGGAGGCAGGAGTGGGAGGAAGAAGGGGTGGGAGGAGGGGGGGGAGGAAATGAAATGGAGGTGGGATGTGGTGGGGGAAAGAAGAGAAATAGAAATTACAGAGTATTTCCCAAGATTTTTTTTGCAGGATCTTAATGGTATCGATTAGTCATTTAAGTGTACAATTATACTATGGCCAGTCAGATTTACCTGACCAATTCCTCAACACCAAATGATGCACAGAGCTAAAAACAGCATGTAAAGTCAACAGACATATCTTAAATATTGTCAGTTGTCAGCCCCCCCCCCCTCCTCCCCGGTTGAAACATCACACGAAGGGCTGCATTTACATTTAGTTCCTTATTCATATAGAGTAGTTTGCTGATATGTATATATAAGCACAACATTGCATCTTTAGACCAGGAAAAAAATCATTGTACAACAGAAAGTCAGACAATAACGGTACATTCCATTGAAACCTTAAATTGCTGGTAAAATATAACTGACTTCTCTTGTGGCATATTTTCATAATGAATACCATGGGCATGCTGTTCATTAATGCTTCACAGTCGATTTGTACAATAGGTAAAACGCTTGCTTGTTTTGTCAGCGAATATATTTCAGTTCCTTTTAGAGATTGCTGGGTTAAAGATTTCGGCAAAATCCTCAACTTACACCATTTCTGATCTTACGATACGTTGCAAATACACTCAAAGTCTTTGGAAAGGTATGGATTTTACTCTTCTCTCAACACTGTGGCATTTTAAGAGGCGAGGCCTGAGAAGGCCGAGATAAGCAAACAGAGAGCCCTGAAAACATTCTAAAACAACCAAGTTCAACACCACCCCACTGGAGATTTGAACAAAAGGTAATTCGCATCATGGCCTAAAGTGATACCAACTGATTGGATTTTTTTACTTTCTAAAACTGCGTAACAAAACATAAATATTTTTGGTAAAAATAAACGTGAGTCCTTCATTGAAAACCTTCTTGAAATACTGCACTCATCCGGGGTCTATACCCAAAGTGGCATCACATTGGGTCGTTGTTCGCCAAGAATGTCTTTGACTAACTTTAAGAAAGGAGAGTCTAAATAATAGTATACAGTCAAACCTGCTCAAACAGTCACATGTATTAGACAATTACCTATACAAACAGTCACTTCTCATTTCCTCCCTTACGTGCCTTCTTCTCATTATGACAACGACTCTCTTTAAGGAAGTCCACTGTCTAAGAAAATCACTTTTCTCGCCGGTAAATGGCAGTGTGGCCGTCTTCGACTATTTCAGCTATACTTTGAATGTTGCTGTTGACTCTTTCAAGTCTTCAATTACCTCAAAACATTGGAGACGAAGGTGCGTTTACCTCATTCTTTTCTCTAATTACTTTTAAACATTGGAGACCTTGGTACTCTCACCTTGTTTCAATCTCTAATTACCTTTAAACATAGGAGACATTTTCTCCCACACGGCCACTGGTCCATTCCTGTGGAACTGTCCCAGACACATCTCCATGAAGAAGATTGGCATGGCTCCGAAGATGAGGGTAGTGAAGTATGGAATGAGGAACGCCCCTAAAAGAAGTCAAATTGTGGATATGATAGCGTTATGACAGAAACTAATTTTCACAATTCGTAAATTTTAATGCTTTATCATGGGTAAAGCTTCAACGTTACATGAAAATTGGATTACAGATTTCTCAGTTATGTCAGCGCAATTTCCCCCTTTATCACGAGCAGGTTAGTGCACGTTCAAAGAGACATTATCAGTAAAGAGTTTATACACCTTGATACTGTGTCAGCATCTTATGTTCTCATCCGATCCTCTACC